CGAACGAGAATGACGACACATCACCCTAGACAGGATGTCAGTTCATCGCAGGTTAACCCTCAGCTATACAGCTTGTTAGACTGAAACAATTGGGGTGAAGTATCTTATTCAAGGACACAACAGCGTGTCACGAGCAAACCTCGAACTCGTGACCTCCGAGTCCAAAGCACTATCCACTAGGGCATACCTTACAATATATATATATTTAAAGTGACGCAAGTGGCTTCTTATCCTAGATATCTTATGTGAACTGTGACCTCGGGGCTTCTTATCCTAGACATCTTATGTGAACTGTGACCTCGGCTGCTCCGTAACTTACTTCACAAGACTCTTACTTTTTGCGTCTTATATCCAGCAAATGAACTCACCTTTGACATTAGTGTCCTCGCGAGACTCGTATTTGTGACTATTGTGTAATCATAGCAGATTTGAACTTTGGCCTTTTAGATCCTAAGTTTCTATTATGGGTAAAAATTGTCAATAAAGTTAACGTGGGAAATGAGATTATTGTAACGTCATCTGAGTTAATACGAAGTTAATATTTGACGAACGAATTCCAAAATTATTGAATTTTCAAATGTCAAATATAATTCCGTTTCTTAAAGCAGGGCAATATACGAATCCGACAATTACAGTGAATAGTGGACAGTGGGCAGTTGATAGATATATACATGTCATACTATGTATGGGTGTGGACAGTCACGACACAGCAGTGGACAGTGGGTGGTTGATAGATATATACATGTCATACTATGGATGGGTGTGGACAGTCACGACACAGCAGTGGACAGTGGGCAGTTGATAGATATATACATGTCATACTATGGATGGGTGTGGACAGTCACGACACAGCAGTGGACAGTGGGTGGTTGATAGATATATACATGTCATACTATGTATGGGTGTGGACAGTCACGACACAGCAGTGGACAGTGGGTGGTTGATAGATATATACATGTCATACTGTGGATGGGTGTGGACAGTGGGCAGTTGATATATATATATATATATATGTCGTACTGTGGATGGGTGTGGACAGTGGGCAGTTGATATATATATATATATATATGTCGTACTGTGGATGGGTGTGGACAGTGGGCAGTTGATATATATATATATATATATG